GATTCATCAGGGGAATACCCGGAAGATCTTTTCGTTTTCGCGGAAGGTGACGTCGTGCTTCTGTTTCTGAAGACACTGCTATCTCCAACAAACATGCCTTTGTCCGCGGTTGAGCTACAGCGAGTTATGGCCATTTTGGCCGACGAAGATGAGCTAAAAGTCACCGTGAAGAACGCTGCGTATGGTGGAGTTGTAGCTGGTATAACAACTACAGTCGGCGGCCTTTTGGCTGGCCCACCCGGGCTTATGATCGGTGGAGCTGTTGGTGGACTCTTGGCTTACAACACTACAGGAAATTTCAAGCCAGTCTCTGCTGTTATTAAAGACATGAATGCCCACGAAAGACAGCTTCTCTACGACACCATGAAGGATATTATCGACAATTTACATATTGATGATTACTTGGCGCTTATAGCTTTTCTGAGCGGCGGCCCTGGATTGCTTGTGCGAGAACAGCTAATGGCTAGAATGGCGTCCTTTTTACGCGATCAGATGCGCCTTCAGATGGCTACATAATGAACCGAAATTCAATACGGGGAATTCAGCTTTACCCCTGGAAAGTTTCCTGTTAACCTGTTTACTAGAGAGTAGTGGAAGCCATATTGAATTTTAGTAGAAGTACCGGGACAGACCGTTCATATGGCAGAGATCTTTATTTCCTGTGTCACCTTGCGACCAACGACCCAGACATTAGTGGACTTTGCCTGAAGACAGACCAAGGTTGCGTGACTCTGGATTGTGCCTCGGTTTCAAGAACTACAATTTTTGACGACGTAGGGATTTAACAATTAAATGAAACTTGATAATCACTGTAGCTTTCCTATTGTTCTCAAGGAAGCATTTGGTTTACGTTTGAAAACACGGCCTATCGAAAGGAAAACATATACTTTTTATCGGCCTTAAAGAATGTAGATTTCCTGTGATGTCGTAATATTTACATTGTGTATTTTTTAAAATGCATTTTGAGATAGCAACGATGTCTTTATAGTAATATATTCACTTTCAAGAAATACTTTGTTTAATGTAGACAATGCAGAAAGTAGGGCAAATTTTACTACTTCCAAGTTTATCTAATAAAATCTTTTGAAACAGCAGCAGAAATAATTTGACTGACAAATAATAAATATTATATATGTATGGGTCATGATCATTGCCCTAAAATTTAAAGCAAAAGTTGTTATTTCTTTAAAGCCGGCATGTCTCTAAGGCCTATACACAGTCATACTTCTAATGCTGGCTTCACATTATGGTGAAGCTATCAGGAGCTTAGCGTGAGATTTTGAAGGTGTACTGCAGTACTCACAGGAAAAAGACTAGGGGGGTTCCTGGGACTTGGTCCCCCAGGAAATGTTCAAATGTACGGTCTCAGAAATGCCACGATTTCCTCCTTTTTCCGCAGGAAATTTTCATTTAATAAATATGATGAAAAATGGGTAGTTAGTTGTTTACTTAACCCATCTTAAGCAAGGGTTATCCATAAGGTACAGTTGTAACTGCAGTTAAAGAAAAAAGACAGGAAAAAAGGTAAACCAAGACACCATCAAGGAGGTTACAAGCAAAGGATGAGACATCTTAGGAAATACTTACCCAAAGACACCAATATAATGCAAAAAATTTATCGAACATTCTGATTTAATGATAAAAATACTTTCAGGAAATAATGAAAAAAATTTTTCCCCTAATTTCAGTCGTATTCATAGGTGTACGTGTATATATGGATGCTACGCTTGTGGCTATACACATGGGCATGAAGACGAGATTCTGAACTTAGGTTAGAATAATAATGTAAGTGTATAACAGGGAAATAGTCAGTAAAGGATTTTTTTTTAACATGGCACATTCACTCACTTTATGCAACAGATACTAATAATGCCTCATCAAATTCTGCAGAGGAGAAAGAGCAAGAAGGGAATAGGAAAGGTCATATTCACTTGATTCCCATTCTCCACTATAAAAAGCTTATTTTGAAAGAAGGAAAGGTGGCTAAGCAGTTAAAACCTTGAGCTTCGGATATGGAGGTCTGGGTTCAAGCCTTACTGTTGCATTGTTCCTTCAGACAAGATCCTGTTCTTCACGACATCTCTTTTTACCCAGGGCCCAGTTTTTCGAAAGGTGGATAACACTATCTAGTGGATAACACAGTTGGTTTTCTTAATACTTATCTGCTAGATGGTGATTTATCCAGTGGATAGCGCTATCTGGCGTTTAAACAACTAGGACCAGGTGTATACATGTGTGTTGGTAACATTGCATACTGTTGAGGGTATCACTGCGATGGACTAGGATCCCACCCAGAGGAGAGCCTGTAAAGGTGCTTCATGCTACAGTCACCAGGATGAGCTCCTGCTGTGTGGGCCCAATGATGGTCCAATGACGGCCCAATGACTCTTAGTGCCTTCACCTTACTTTTTAATTGGAAATTTTATTATCATTCCTCAGTTTAAAATACCTTGTCACATCAATACAGGTAACTTACGAATGGAAATTAACAATGTTTCTACTTTTTAGTAGAAATATAAATATCACAGATTTACTCTTACTACCGGTATACAATGTTTACTATAACAATTTAAAAATTCTACCCTAACTAAAACGATTCCAACAATGACACTACGCTTGATGCAAAAAGCACTGTACTGCTTTCAAAAATTTGAAAATTAAATACAAATTAATGCAAACCCGGTTTAAATAATGAATTAGGGTTTCTTCCTTTAATTTAACTTAGTTTATCATTAAAAAGGTATTAGAAGCTAAATATCATTAATTCTTCCCTGTTCTCTCTACTTATGAAATGAAACAGTTTTAGGCGATAACTGTTCCCTGTGAAACAATGTTGATCATCTTTCTTGTATGTTTGTATTTTATTTTCATGTGTTATTTTATCCTGATGAAGGTATACATCTATGAAGAAGGATGGAGGCAAAAAATTTCTGCCAGTGTATACTGCCTGTGGCACTTATAATGAAACTAATCTGCAATGACAACATTAAATTCTGCTGTTTTTCCATTCAGTCACTAGTATGGATATGTTACAGGTCAAAATAATATTCCTGAGTTGATCCTCATTTTTGTTTGTCTCCTAACCCTAGTTCTTGAATAATTAGGGCTAGGACACAAAGAAAATTGAAAATCAACCTAGGTTGAAAAATTTTAACCTGAAAATAATTTTGACCTGTAACAGATACATTCAGAGAGTGATTATTCCAAGTGGTCAACTAGTGGGCGTCAGACATAAATCATAGCCCCCCAAAATGGTTGGACTGTATTGTACAACAGTTACAACAGTAGCCATAATACTGTGTTATTTTTGCAACATTGGCTAGACTGTACTGTCCAGCAGTAGCTAAACTGTACAGTCCAACAGTAGCTAAACTGTACTGTCCAACAGTAGCTAGACTTTACTGTCCAGCAGTAGCTAGACAGTATCAACCAACAGTAGCTAAACTGTACAGTCCAACAGTAGCTAGACAGTAAGACTGTATCGACCAATAGTGCTAAACTGTACTGTCCAACAGTAGCTAAACTGTGCTGTCCAACAGTAGCTAGACTGTACTGTCCGGCAGTAGCTAGACAGTAAAACAGAATCAACCAACAGTAGCTAAACTGTACAGTCCAACAGTAGCTTAACTGTACTGTCCAGCAGTAGCTAGACAGTAAGACTGTATCGACCAACATTGCTAAACTGTACTGTCCAACAGTAGCTGGATTGTAACAACCAACAGTAGCTAAACTAGCCACTACACTGTATCGACCAACAGTGCTAAACTGTAATGTCCAGCAGTAGCTAGACTGTATTTTCTAGTTTTTGAAACAGTATCAGTTCCACAGTGTTGCAACTATCACTGATAATGACTGCTTGTGGGGTTCTTCACAACTCATTGTCATCATCGCTGAAAAGCAGTTGTCTTTCTCCCATCCTGCTAGTCCAGACTGCACTTCTTGAGGCTTGGTTACAGGCAAGGTATATCAAAATCAAATTAGCCAACAGGCTGATACCACAGAGGCTTATAACTGCTATAAACCACACAAACAGCTTGCTAGAGAAAGGTAAATAAACAGAAGAAATCAGCTTTACTACCAAACAATTACCACAATGATCAAAGAAAACAAAAAGAGGAAAATTCATCAGCTTGCTTTACTAAGTAATCCCAGTAATGAAGATTTATGGAGGCGGTGTGGCTGAGCGGTTAGAGTGATGGTTTTGCAATCCAGAGGCCCCACTAGATTTGTTCTCGGTAGTCTCAAGTTCAAATCCTCAACCCCCCTTGTAAAATGACTACACATGTAACTGATCTACCTCCAGCCAGTTGGCATCCTTAACATAACAATAATTTTCATGTTCCATTTGTATTATCCCTGGAAAGCTCCACAAGAGGCAGTGGCATTTTCAAACATGAAGGGGGCAGGGGGCGGGGGGCGGGGGGCGGGGGGGGGGAAGCTCATCTTCCACTCTGCCATACGCATGCCAGGCTTACTCAGATTTTCCAAAATGCCCTTTGTGTTGTTCTTTAGCACAAGCAAACCTCTTTGCCCCCTCCCTGCTCCGCCGCCTATGAGAGGAAAGAATTATCAAGTATTTTTATTGTTTATAATTCAGAATTTAAGTTAGCACATTAGCTCGAAAGTTTGTTTAGTAAAAAAAAATCTATTAACTTTAAAATCATAATAATGGAGGGACTGACAGGTCAGACTATAATCCATGGTCTAAACCTCTTCATTTAAACATTCATCTTGGTTCTCTTACATCCTCTAAAGCTAATTTTAGTTAACCCTTTAAGCCCCAATGTCCACATACAAATTCTCCAAACTGATCTCCATACATTTCCTTTAAGAATTAGTTGAGAGAATTTAATAAAACATCAAGGCATTTTCTCTTTCGTGATCATTTTTTATATTCTCACAACCTTATCTGTTGACAATGTATGGACATTGTTAGGAGAAAATTGCTGTCGGTCACTATTGGGACTTAAAGGGTTAATAGTAAAGGATCAAATGATTCTGTACTGGAGGCAATAGGGAGCTTAAGATCCAAGGACGGTGACGGCAGAGAAAACATCGCTAAAAAAGTGAATTCGCGTTCTTTCAGTCTTCATCGAGATTACTCCAAGTCACTAACTTTGTCAATTAATGTAGGCGAAGCCTCCTTAAGTTGAATTCCTAAGAAACATATTCAAGTTCAGAAAGAGAAAGGAAATTTCGTCGTCACTTGTGTACTTCCTCACGACCTTCTGTACATCGTGAAATTAGGAATTTTCACATCGTAGTTGTGCAGTGACGGCAAAGAAATGTACAAAAAAGCGTGATGCACATGCAAAATTGTTGTTTGGCTAATTAAACCTATTGCTTTTGTGGCGTTCCCGTTGCCGTCGCCCTCACCGTCGTCGGATCTTAAGGTCCCTAATGAATGGTAAAGTCCACAACTTGCCATGACGCTGAAACCTGGCATAAAAACTCTTGAGACTTTGACTCAAAAAGTTTCATAAAAGACCAAATAAAATTCACAAAGAAAGAGAATTTGAGACCAGTTACAATATTATTAGTTACAAGAGTTTGAGATTGTGAAAAGGTTATGAGTCCAAGGATTTTCTTGGCACCATTTGCCAACCCTTGTAGTATGTTAATGATGCAATCATCTCAAAAAAGTATGATCTTTAATACAGATATTTCAAAGACCCTTAAATGGGTCACTTGGCATAATAAAACAAATAAATCCAGTAATACCTAAATTCCTTTTCCACGGTGACGACTTTTTCAGTATTGGGCTGTTTAGTATTAGATGTTGGAAGTAACTTGCTCATTCGTAAATCTAACTGGCACTGCAGCCCTGATGATAAAGCAGACATAATAATAAGTTCTGTGACATATGTAAACATCAATTTTCTTGAGAATAATAATAATAATAATATTACCAATTCTGTGTCTTTATTTCATAGAATAAAAATACATATTCTGTCTTACAACAACTANAGACTTTGACTCAAAAAGTTTCATAAAAGACCAAATAAAATTCACAAAGAAAGAGAATTTGAGACCAGTTACAATATTATTAGTTACAAGAGTTTGAGATTGTGAAAAGGTTATGAGTCCAAGGATTTTCTTGGCACCATTTGCCAACCCTTGTAGTATGTTAATGATGCAATCATCTCAAAAAAGTATGATCTTTAATACAGATATTTCAAAGACCCTTAAATGGGTCACTTGGCATAATAAAACAAATAAATCCAGTAATACCTAAATTCCTTTTCCACGGTGACGACTTTTTCAGTATTGGGCTGTTTAGTATTAGATGTTGGAAGTAACTTGCTCATTCGTAAATCTAACTGGCACTGCAGCCCTGATGATAAAGCAGACATAATAATAAGTTCTGTGACATATGTAAACATCAATTTTCTTGAGAATAATAATAATAATAATATTACCAATTCTGTGTCTTTATTTCATAGAATAAAAATACATATTCTGTCTTACAACAACTATTCAACATTGTGAGAAATACAATGCGCTTGAAGCATCTATTCAGAACACATTGCAAAGTTGAAAGTTCAGCCTTGGAGGCTCCAAATCCTGACAAACCATGCACTAAGTTTGGCAACACTATAGCTTCAAATAGGTTTTCTATTTCTAACTGACTGCAACCTTCGTGCATAGAGATCTTAAAACATGGAGTCCTTTGTTAGCCTTAGTAAACATCTCCTTGACATGGTTAACAAAACACGAGTCTTCCTGGAAACACACTCTGAGGATTTGCAATTTTTTACATCGCAGTATATCTGTAGTAGGTAGATAGAAAGCATATACGTTTGAACCCTTCTTGAGAAAGGTGAGTTCTTTGCACTTTATTGGACTGCAGGTTATACAGTTGATCCAAAACCACTCCATGAACCTGGTCACCAGATCTAACGACCTGGGGCAATTATAGTTGAATCATCGGCATATTGAATGATATAAAAAAGTACAATTATCCTGTGAGATCTCTAAATCATTTAGAAAGATTTTAGAAAGATGAGGGCCACTAACAGTACCCTGACTGGTGCCCTAATTGACAGTTCTCCATGACCCCTTGAAAGTGTTATGCATCACTCACTGTTTCCTGTCTTTTAGAAAAACTAAAGACAGATTTATAATATAAGGATCAATAGGAAGCTTCTCTAATTTTGCAGCTAGGAAATGCTTAACGGAGTCAAACACTTTATTAAAGTCCATAGTGTAGAGACAGACAGCTATACAGTCTCGGTTGTTCAAATACTTCTGAATTGTGCAATAACGCACCTGTGCAATTTCCACCCTCTCTGTAACCAAAGGATGGATCTGTGTGCACTAGAATGCTGACTTACATTTCTGAGTAGCGTTGAGCAGGGTATTGTTGTGTGCAGAAAGACATTCACCAGTTTCTGGACCACAGTCGCACGTGTTAGGGCAATCACAAATCATTGAACAATTCTGTCCATAACTTCCAGGAAAACAGCCTGATAAATTTAACAAAATAGCAGATTACAAATAATGATAACAAGGACAGAGATGATGACAATGACAGTGAAAAAATAATATTAATGTACAACCCATAGAGAAGGATGAACCTGCTAACATCTTTGCCGTAATTGAGCCAACCCCCCCCCTCCCGCCCCATGGGAGAAGACCCCAGGGAGGCTGCATAAGTCCTTTTCCAGCCAATTCAAGGAAAGGATCAACCCGAATAAGCATTTCTCAGAGGATGACATCGTTTGCAATGCCTGGTTACCATAATTATTTCAGTTTTTTTAAAGCAGTTAGTGAAAAATTTCACTCCCAATAGTGGCCAAAGAAAAACTTCATAAAAAAATTCAAATTCATTTTTATAAAATCCTAATAAATAAATATAACTGGGCACAAGTTATACCAAACAGGTTTAATCTGAAAAGTAACAACAGATTTAGAGCACTTAACTAAAAAATAAGTAGCACAAATGGTCCTTAGCAATAGGGCCATTTATACGAGGGAAAATAAGACGCGTCTTAAATAAGACATGAACTTTCCGTATAGACGGTACATTTCGTCTTAAATAAGACGCGGCTTAGCTAAGACGCGTCTTATTAGATAAGACATGCTCGTATAAATGGTACAGTTCGTGTCTTATTTAAGACGCGTCTTATGTAAGACGTGTCTTATTTTTCCTCGTATAAATGGCCCTAATAAGAAAATAATTTTTTGGTATTAACACTTACGGTGTTGACAATACAATCCAGTCCAGCCTAAACTACAACTACATTCTCCATTGAGGCGGTTACACGTTCCGCCATTCAGACAAAGACATTCCCTGCTGCAATTTACTCCATACAGGCCTGGAGGACAAGCTGTAACAGAAATCAATATCATGATAATACTCACTGACAAGAGTTTCTTAAAAAAACAACTCCTAATATAGTATAATACTGTTCTCATAATGATGCAACCATCTGATAATTCCTGGGACAAGGACTTACTAGTTTTTCATTAAATCAAAGATGCCATCCTCTAGAGATTTAAAGTCAGTCAGTTTTTTTCTTTCATAGCCTCTGTGATAAACCTATTAGCCTAAGACTTCTCAGGATATGCCTTAAAGTTAATGCCCCCCACGATACAAACTTGATAAAATTTTGTGACTTTAAGGAGCAATATTTTTGTTTGCTTTAAACGTATCACTTTGTAACTTGGCAAGTTTATTTAAAGTATAAGGCGCTCTTTCCGATAGTGTTAATGGATATTAGCTAACTGGTCTTTCTCCACACTTAATAAAAAAATGGTAGAAGGGTCTATTGTTGTCAAGACTAACCTTCACTGCAATTATCCCCTCTCCAACCAGAAAAACACAAGCAGCCATCTACAAATTTAAAGAACGAGATAACATGACTTGTAAGGTCTCATTAAGAGCAGAAAGATCATCACATTTTCACCTAGCAGCTCATTATGAATTGCTACTCTCTAAAATAGAGGCATATATAATAAATTATTATTGTCCTGCAGTAAGAGCTTTTAATCACAGCAATAACCTTACTGGCATTTTTGTAGATCTGTTGACTCCTTGACGATAATTCCTGTATTGTTTTTTACCCTCTTTTTTGTTTACAGCATCATAATACATCACAAGCATTCCAATAATTGCTTGCATTGGGCTTGTCCCTGCATAGAATTTCATTTGTTGGCAGCATTTTATTAATATATTTTTCCCTTATACACATAAGCTATATTTTTGTGTGGCAAGGCATTCCCTCTGAGAAAATCAATGATGCAGTAGATAGAAACTTCCATGCATAATGACAAAAATTACTACTACAGGAGAAATGTTTGAACATGATGCNTAGATCTGTTGACTCCTTGACGATAATTCCTGTATTGTTTTTTACCCTCTTTTTTGTTTACAGCATCATAATACATCACAAGCATTCCAATAATTGCTTGCATTGGGCTTGTCCCTGCATAGAATTTCATTTGTTGGCAGCATTTTATTAATATATTTTTCCCTTATACACATAAGCTATATTTTTGTGTGGCAAGGCATTCCCTCTGAGAAAATCAATGATGCAGTAGATAGAAACTTCCATGCATAATGACAAAAATTACTACTACAGGAGAAATGTTTGAACATGATGCTCTCATATACCACTCAATGGAGATTGCAATAAGACACATTATTCAGGATAATTTTCAAACTGAGTCCACATAAAGTATAGCCTGTCTTGACTCACCTTGTTGAGAGCACACTCCATTTGATGAACAATTATTTTCTTTACACTTTACTACATCACAAGATTCCCCAGTCCACTGACTGTCACAAACACACCGTCCCATCACACACTGTCCATGACCATTGCAGTTACTGGGCACACAGTCGGGCTCATGTGCACACACAATTGTGGTCACCTGTCTTGGGCAGTTGAACTTACCACTAGAGATAACAAAAAGGGAGAGCTGATTTTTTTTAAAAAAGAAAAGGTTCTTAACGAAGAAGAGAGAAGAAAGAAAGCAAGCAAGAAAAGCTAACAGAATCATTACACTTGATGGTGGAAAAGACAAGAAGTTTAGCAACCTCTCTCGTAAGCAACCAGCTCTACTTATGACCACCTTTGTGAAACCCTGTTTGAACTGTGACTTAAACTTTGTAATGAAAAGCTCTTGTAAACGACCTCTCCCGTAAGCGGCCCTGAACACTTTTGGGATTACCCAACTGGATTTTTCCTTTGTTTTTAAGCTTTCGTATGTGACCACTCAGACTTGATAAAACAGGAACTGTGAGTTTATCGAACAGCTTCAAAATCTACTGATGTAGATCAACTCATTCTTGCACTAATTTTTAGATTTGGGGTTATTAATTTTTGGTCTGAAAAATTGGACGTAACGTATAGTTGTATTTATATATCATGTATAAAGACACTCATTAAACATTAATTTTCTTTTGTTCTTTTCTATGAATTATTAATGTATTTTGAAGTTCTTGTCAGCTACCACCCTCTATTGTTTTGCCGTACGGTCGCTTATGAGAGCTCATTCTCGTAAGTGACCAGCTCTAGTTTTGAATTTCCGAGGTGGTTGCTTACGAGAGCTTTGACTGTATATAAAATCTCACAAAAATCGATCACTGATGCTTGGCATAAACAAAATCACAACCAAAACAACAATGCTGCTCTAAATAAAAAACCTACCAACTCTCCACGTTAATAAATTTATTCTTCTTAATTTAACAAGTCACAGTTTCAAAGACAAGGGCAATTTGGTTGTTTACAATAAAGATCGTTGAAATTTTTTAACTCCAAGCAACCATGCGATCACCCGTTTTTGTACATTAATAATTTTATTTGCTGTCACTGCACGACTACGATGTGAAAGTGCCTAATTTCATATTATATGGAGAACGTGAATACAAGACAATGACCTTCTCTCTCTTTTACTGAACCTTGAGACAGTCTTTTAGAATTCAGTTCCAGAAAAATTTGCTAACATGTAACAGGTTTTACTCAGTGACCATTTTTCGCATCTGAATGATAGCAAGTAAAAAATGTAACACTTAAATGAAGCACTTACCATTGATCTGAAGGATAATTGACAACAGTTCCATTCACCACCATTGTTGAAGAGCCTCCACCATCAAGGTTTATGGCATTTACGAGACCAAATTTTAACAGAAGATCAGCAAAATTGTACAAGTCGATTCTTTCAAACAATAAAAATATTAATAAAATACTTCATCAGTGCGTTACGGCCATTATTGTGAACTGCTGCTTATAAACCCTGGTCTTATATATTTTTGTAAGGGTTTAGGAGGGCTTCTAAACAGAGGGGCTTATATTCAATAGGGCTTTTTATACAAACTGGAATATAAAAAGCACTCTGAAACAAGCTAAAACAGCGCAAATCAAAATTTATTTGCATTAAATCAGTACTCGACAATTACTTTTTTGGACACTAGGCCATGGGCTAGCAAGTGAAATAAATCACTTGCCCAAGAGGACAAGTCACTGGTAAAAAAAAAAAAAGCCCAGAAAAAATACACACAGGGGGTAAGGAACCACTCTACTCCTTCCAGTGTCCAGTCTATAAACTATATATTTTAAAACGAAATGCAAATGAATAAACACTTGCTGTGTTATCTTTGTTTGTTTTCAATTCTTTATTAATACATTCAATTCATTTCATGAAGGTCCAACTTTAAACTAGTAGAGACAAAAAACGGAAATTTTCTGTTTCTGCGATAAAAGCATAGTTTGAATTTCCTTATCTCTTAGCGCTACTGTTCGAGTACACACACCGCCACAAGTTCCACAAGACATTTTTTTCGCTAATGAATCCCAGCTGAGGATATGTTTCTTTCAACCTCCGGAGATCTAGAAAACGACAACCTTTTGCATCTCTTTCTCTTCAGACTGTGTGAGGTCCTCTGGCAAACAACGAAAATCTGCTTAAGAATAATTGGCCATTGAAGGATGCCTTCTCTTACATGCGCACAAAAATTCCAAAATCAGGCGCACCTGTGATGGATTTCACCCAGCTCAGGCATAATTCCATTTCCAACATGGCATCCGTTTTGCGAGTCAATCGTACGATTAGGTTTTACATTTAATACTCAAGCTATAGAAACTAACTACTGATGAAGCGTATTAGAAAAAGAACTTCCCAAGCTACAGAAGTTGTTTAAAAAATAATTTTCTCTAGTAAAGTAACTGGTCTAAGGGCTAGTAGGAGCACATGTTTACAAGCCCAGCATGAAGTTTCACTAGTCTAGTGGACTAGCGGTAGTGTTGAGCACTGCATTACCTGATTTCTTTATTATTTTTATAATTTTAAATAGTTTTTGCAGTGTTCTTCATGACCTATTCATCATACCAATCACTACCCTTTATGAACTGTATAATTATTGAAAAAAATTGAAAATAATCTCCTCCAATTATTTGGGAAAAAAATGCTAAGAAAACTGTCAATGAGTGATCATAAACTTTATTCGTTAGGGAAACTTTACCCATGCTTACTTTTTAGTTTAGAATGGTAAATGTTGATTTTCTTTCACAGCAATAAGAACATTAAGGGATTGTATTTCTGGTTTCTTGAAATTCCATGGCAACTGAACTTAGTGAAAAGAATCCCTCTAAGTCATGTGATTACCACCAGACTAGCTTCTATTCAATATTCTTTTATCGCCAATTAAATAAAATTATACGATTATCAAGGAAGGAAAAAAAATTCTTACCCTCGCTTCTTAGTTTTTCCATCTACCTGCACCATCACGACTCGCCCTTGGCTATCATGACCAAGCGCTGTTCTGGCCGACAAAACACCCGCAAAAAGGTCCATAGGTCCTGTCTCCTCCGTGTCACGACATTCTGCCTTTTTGCTCTCGTTTACATAACTAGATCCATTTCTCAAGAGCCACACAACACCAGAAACAAGCTGAATAAAAGGATTTTCTTTCCGAAGAACGTCTTCCTCGGACAAATATCCTACAACAAGTGTACCGTCCTGCCGGATTCCGAAATTAGCATTTTGAACGCCGCCAGAATCTTGTACTTTTCTCCCGTCACTGAAAATATTTCCATAGCACATGCCGTCCCTAGTTCTAAACATTCCTCCATTCGTAGAGACGAAACAATTTCTCTGCTTGCCAGTTTCGGCGACAGTCGCTCTCGTAAATTTACTACAACCTCCGACTTCTTTCGGTTCTAAAACAGAGATGGTCCTTATCGGATCCTCCACCGTTACAATGCGTCCTACCACATTCAACGTTTTGCCATCTCTGTTAAATTCGTGGTAGAAATTTTTAACTTGTACAAAAGGTTTTTCGGGGTTTAGGAGTCTGGAAACATTGAATATTTCGTGGGTTGTGTTGCCACGTTCAATCGGTTGGCAGTCCCGTACAAAGCGATGTGTTCTTTTCGTTCTGTAGTAATCCTTGTATGGCGTAAGGATGTCAGCTACAAAAGGATCTTCTGCATCTCCATATAATGTAGTTCTCATGGTTAGAAAATAAAGTAAAGTAGTAACAAAATAAACGTAAAGAACTCTCATCTCCTCTGTTTGTTTGCTGTTGGAGGTAGTTCATAGTTCATGCAACTTTTGCAAGAAGTTTGCCAATATCTTTTGCGCCCGTGGAGAAAACGTCAGCGGTAAAATACACCAACAGCTGATTGGTTGTGAATGCGTAATCAACCTTCCTCGAATATTTCGACTGTCAAAATAGTGTGCAAATCCGTCTGATAAGGTTTCCGGGCGGATATGTTGCCTACAAAGTTCGTCGTTCAGCCGTCCGAGTCTCTTAAATGCCCAATTTGTAGAGAACTATTCGAGGATCCGGTTATTTCGACTCAATGTGGGCATACATTTTGTAGAAACTGCATTCGAAATGGCGTCTCACTCACCGGAAACTCGGGAACAAAATGCCCCTTGGATGGTACGATTTTACAACGGTTTCATTTGGTGTCGAATTTAGCCGTGAAAGGTCAAATAGAGGACCTGCAGATCTACTGTAGGCATGGTTTAACGAGAACTGATTCGGAAGAAGATTTTGAAATAGACTTAACTGGTTGTCAAGAAAGAATTTCTTTTGGCAAGCGAATCGAACATGAAGAAGCCTGTGGATTCGCTCTAGTACCCTGTCCTAATAGCTCAAACCAGTGTGGGAAATTTCGGCGGAAAGCTTTGGACGATCACCTTAAAGACTGTGCTCAGTACCGTTGCCTTTACAGCGTAAAGGGTACGTGATTTCATTTTATTAAGGTTGTTCCTTTGACGCTGTTCAACTCAAGTATCGTTAATTAAAATTAAATGCCGCCTTTTCATTCTGTGTTTTTTTCTTTGTATAGAAAGTAAGCTCAACTCAGTTCATTATTTATACATTGAAAAGACATCTGCTCTTTTGAAAGGTGATTTCAGTGAACAACTCATTTTAACACTGTTGGAGAGGTTTCATTTTCATAAGCTTGTTGTATATTGTGTTATTAAAATGATTGTTCCAGTAGGTGCATTTGTGCCGATGAAATATATGAGACTGTTAATCCTCGTCTTAAAAAATATTCAGAATAAGAAATCCACGAAAACTTTTGTCTTGTAATCACTTGTCTGCCCGTTAAAGCTTTTGACATGCGAAAAAAGAGCAAGCAAACAAAACAGAAAAAGCTGTACATCATATCCCAATTTTGACAACTGATCCAAGCCGTTATAAGTTAAAAAATGGTTGTTTCTCTTGCAGGATGTGAACATGTTGGTACAAAATTGAATGTGGATGAACACTGTAATACTTGTCAATACAAAAACAGTGCAGATCCTCCAAAATGTCAAGCTCTCCATTCTGGGGTAACGTAATGAATGTTGACAATTAAGTGCAATTTTGTTGGTCTTTAACATTTATAGAGAAAGTATCCTTAGCTCAAGTCCTTTTCCATAAAGCGTGAAAAAAATCATCCTTGAATAGCCTGATTTGAGCCCAGATTACTAAGAATAAACAAACAAGTGTAAATTTCACATTATGTAGTCCTTCATGCAGTCATTCTTCACAGTATGTAACAAAAACAAAGTAAGGCATACAATCGTGGACAAAAGTCCAACGAGAAATTCACATTTGTGGCCCTTTTTTGTCTAAAAAAATTGCATTTATTTGTATTGAACTCTAGCTAGAAGGGAGGGATGACTGGCACTAGTTTCTTTCTCTGACATGCACTCTATGCAACTCATTTGCCATGTGCTAGTACAGATGGTAGCTTTGCTCGCAAAACATCCTGCCCAGCCCTAAACCCAGCAACAGGGAAGTATGTTTGCTACGATTACCAACAGCGCTAGCGTGAGGGTTGCCACTTTGCCTCTTCCTGTAAATATGATCATGTTTGCATCAAACCGCAGTGCTTGGGAACCCACTCACAATGGCAGCAACAGTCTGCTACTGCTCAAGACCCCCAATACTGAACCCACCCTCAACTGCAGAGCTTTCTCCTAATAGTACTTTGATTTTAGAACTTAGCAGGAGATGTCTTGACCACATTGTTAAATGCGGGGACTGATCCCGTCTAAAGGACACCACATCCTGCAGAATCTGGGGAAAATTTACCCTACCCATGCAGAGCCCTTTTTAAATTTTAAGCAGCAGCCCCAAGCAGCCAAGGTCTCCACAGACTTAGTTTTTGAGACCCCAGCAATATAACTAACCAGTGACCTGGACATGGAATTTATCCTGCCTAGTCCCTGTACAGCCTGTCCCAGGCCTTCTTGGTCAATGCATTTTGGTTACATATCCGCGACGAACAGCCAAAAACTCCTTTGGACCACATTACCCGAAACGCATCGGCCACCCACAATAATGAGGCCTAGGGACTAGGCAAGAATCTAAGATGCTGTTAAAAATGGATTTCAGCTCCTTTCTCCTGATTCAATGATTTCATATGCATTTACTTACAACAATACGTCTGCTCTGTGGCCTGGAGCGAAAGATCAAATTAAAGCGCAATTAGTCAAGGGTCTCCAAGAAGACCACTTTTCTATAGCAGACAAGGCCAACATGCCCATCATCATTTAAATGCCTTGGAGTTGTACCAAAAAAGGACTGACCAATGAATTACAAATGATCATAGACTGTAGCCGACCCTTAATGATGAATGCTAACTGATATAATTATGGATTTAGAACACTACAAGTATGTTGCTGTTGTTGATGCAGCAAATCACTGTCAACCTGGTTGTTGGTTGACCAAAGTTGACTTAAAACATGCAGGCCTACAGAGGCGTTGGCACACAGTCCGACAGCTGGTGAGTTATAGGAATGTTGTGGTTCTTCAATGAGTCAAACACCCACCTACCTCTATGATAAGCATCTTCCTTTTGGAGCCAGGGTCTCATCGCCTCACACAAATGATCTGTTGTATGATGGCCCAGAGAGGGTTGTATACTGCGCTGGCACATCTTGATGACGTCCTCATCATCGAACCAACCCAAACTCAGTGCAAAGCAGCTTTTGACACCCTGTTAAACTTACTAGTCAGAGTCTCTCAGTTTCACTCTCAACTTGACCAAAGTTGTCTACCCTGCCCAATGTCTGATTTTTCTCGGAGTGGAAATTGACACTGTCAGTTGTGAGCTCCACCTCTAACTGAGTTGTTATCCCTTCTCAAAGGAACAAGCTCAGAACATAAATGTACCTAGCTTCACCTCCAATGACTCCTTGGCAAGCTTAAATGGGCAGCACGTGTTGTTCAAGGGGGCCGCACACTTCTTGGGCATCTTGTTACCTTGGCAAACTTGGTTAAACATCCGTAACATCACGTCTATCTAAACCTAAATGTGAGAGCCAACATAATGTGGTGCGCCTGTCTCCTGATGGCACACAACTGTAAAACTTTGTTTCCCTCAGCCATCTCAGAACTTCCTAGAACAGTGCTTAGTGATGCCTCCCTGTCTGGCGGGGGTGCCTACAAGAAACAGACTGGGGCTGTGTCAACTGGGTCTTAGATTACCCATCTCTATGCTCTCACAAAGTCAATTACAAGGAGACATTTACCATTGTTTTAGCTCCACACCATTGGGCACCTTTATGGTCAGATCTTAAGGTATTCTTCATCAAGACAGACAGTCAGGTGGCTGCAGCCATTCTAGACAAAGGCTCAAACTGTTGCCCGGTGATCATGGGCTGGATTCATTGCCTGTTTTGGCTTAAGAAGTATTACAACTTCAGTTTGTTTGTCAAGCACATCCCAGGAACAACCAACTCCCTCACAGATAGTGTTTTACCCCTTGATCATGTGCACCACTGGCCAATGTTCCAAGCATGGCTCTCCACATCCCCTGGATAGAATGACTTTGAATCTCACATGCCGCCATTGTTTCTTGCTCTCCTTGGATCCAAGGGATCAGCAGCAACTTGGCCATGAAGTCACCAATTTCCTATGTCAAACATATGCACCAAGTCCACCTAAATGAGTCAAATGCGTTCACACCTATCCTTTTGTGTATACTACGGTTACCAACCTCTCTCAGCAGTAGCATTAACCCTTAATTGCTAGGCAGCTTTCCTAGCAAGGACACTTTCAGCATCCTCCATACCAGCTTGGCTTGCATTCTACACCTAGAACATGGTCTGACTGACCCAACCAAAAACAATTTTCAGCTGGCAACTACACTTCGAGGAATCAAGCCAGTGCCAAAGGTTTAACATTCTTCCAAAAGAAACCAATTACACCCCAGATCCTATTAGCCTTAAAGAGTCACTTAAATTTGGATAACCCTTTGCATACAACTTTCTGCACAGAAACTTACAATACTTCTGTCCCAAGGTAGTCATTTTAGAAAGATTCAACATGACTGCCAAAAATTAGCCTGTTACACTGCCAGAGCGGCTCCAGAGGGTCTAAGCTTTAGCATAAGCCATTTTGAAATAAAACTTCCTGTTGTTTATTTCTTGGCAGTCTTCTGAAGAGTTACGCTCATCAGTACAAGTTCTTTCAGAGCGAGTTTCGTGGCTAGAAAACAATCAAGATGCTCTGATGACACAAGTTGAACAATGTAACAGGTACTTTTCCATCTGTCTTTTGATGGAGAAAATTTTGCGATGTGTATAATTATTTGTATTAATAGTGATAAATATAAAAACATTCTTTTAAATTAATAGCAGCTTTAGCTACAGTATAGAAGAGGACAACAAAAACTGGGATCGAACAAAACAACTGACAGATTTCCCTATGTTGAAGTTTCTTTTGCCAACTCTTACAGCAACCCTGTTTGAAGAAATTGTTTGGGTGAATAATCTATTAAGAGCAGTAATAAGAGAGCCCCAGAGGAATATCTATGAACCTTTAAAGATAATTTACACTAATTTTGTGAATAAAATAAGTAGCCAGCGCAAGACAGCTGAAAGCTGAAACTAAAGATTTTACGAAGAAAAACTAAGGAATTGACTCCAGGTGCCATTATAGGCACAATCCATCCCATAAGGGATGCGTTGGGTTGATAAAGTGATGGAGATAATTGAATAATTTTGAGGGAGGGAGACGGTAAGATGATTTAGAAAATGTGTTTTATTGAGAGGAAAAGGGGGCTTTATTTAATCAACAAACCTAAAAATGGCCTTTTACCAACTTTTTCACCT